GTTCCTCATTGTCTGGCATCCTCCTATCCCAAATTTGGCAAAAAGAAGTCAAGTAATGCCCTTTCCAGGTAGAGATTTCTGCCATGGTGCCTCAGCAACAGAAGCAAGGAAAATTTGCTTTTCATCTTGGAAAAATCCCAGCTGCGCTGCCTGAGCTACGACTAGAACTGACATGGGACATAAGTTCGTTAACATCCAAAAAGTTTTCAATTGACGACCGCAATCATGACAATTAGAATGTAAGGTCCTAGACCACAAACAACTTCCCCCTGCCCCTTACAAACTGTACAACGAGGTTTCAACCTAAAAGCATCCAGCCTAAAAGCTTAACGAGCTATATACCATGGATTATGTAAGTCGATTACGACTAAGACTACTCATTTTCTTGCCTCATGGCCCTCAAAATGAGATCTTCATCTTCTGCTATGTTTTCATCATCATCTTCATAATATTCATCCAGCTCATCTAATATTGACTGGTTAAGACTTTTACGCGATTGCCTTCTGTGCTTCTTTGGTTCCAACCGTGGCTCTGCTTGCTTGACACCCTTGCCTCCCACCTTGAACCTGAATAGGAAGTTTTGAACCAATGTAAGCTCCAGAGAACATCCACAAAAGAGGAAGAAAATGCAGAAGAACAGGAAAAAACTGTCAATTCAGCAAATGTTGTAACCATAAGATTGATAATCGCTTCGTTGACAAAGGTATGAACATGCAGGAAATATGACTCTCGTCGTCTATTCTCAGCTTAAGAAAGATGTAACACAAGGTTCATATAAAACTTCAAATCATCTGTTGCCAACACTTAACGTGCTATGTTATAACAGAAAGAGCTGTTATTTCCAGAGGTTGAAGCGAATCAATCTCATATGCTTACAATCTCCTAAAAATGTAAAGATCACCATGTAACTATTGTAACATCATATTCATTGGAGAATTGTTTTGATGGAACAAATCAGAAACACTATTCCGAGATGTAGGACTTCTATTTGCAAATGCTGATGCTACATGTGATCCTGATTCTCTGCTAGTTTGAAATGCATTAGTAGTCTACTAGAGTCCAGACATAGGAGTAACTATTAATATTCTTTTCCATCACATCAAATAAACATGCTCAAGTTGTAATAAAGTATGCATACAGAACTTGAAAAGTTCACATAACAGGGAAGCAAACATTCAAAAGTTGCAAATACTCTCAACATACCTTACATCACCTTCTTTCTTAGTTCCTATTGTCCTTAGTTGAAATTGCTCCCTGATTTTAATCTCATCCAGCAGTTGAAGATAGTAAGTATACCTCTCCCAATCCCCACTTACAATGCACCCAGGTTCACCAAGGTGTAAGCAGTCACTAAATGAGCATTTTGTAGGTTCCATATCCTTGAGCATTTTACGTATCTGAAGAGAGTTAAATAAAATGTAAAGCCCCTTTAAAGTAAAAATTCAACCAAATACTTCAACATGGAATGAAAGCTGGAAAAAATACGACCTCATCAACTTCAATAGGTGAAAAAGACAACAAAAGAAAACAGTGCAAGAGACGAAACCTCTGGAAAATGTTGAGCAAGAGATTGCTTCGTGACTTTAATCAAACTTGGCTGGTTATATCCTGGTGTATCAGCAAGATAACCCCCGCCCATCAATGGAAGCAAAGAAACATGCCGAGTAGTATGCTTTCCTTTTCCACTTCTTGTTGACACCTCTGCAACACGTTGCTCTTCAAACCACTTGCTGCCAAGAATCTTAAGAGATAAGGGTAGACAGGAACACAGAGAGATTTTAGAAGGGTCTACACAAACTACAAGCAATAGCCATAAAGAAGGGGAAAAAAATGGTAAACTAAGAGGTAGAACCCACTGGATAATACCAATTATCCTGTTCAGAAACGCCCACAAATTGTTTATTGTTCCTCAAAGCATTGATCAAGCTGGATTTCCCAACGCCACTCGGACCTACGATTACAGAAGTTTGTTCTCTCAGGTTGAATTGCAAGGTGTCAATTCCATGCTTTGATTCAACACTACAAAATATTGGTTCATAACCCCAACTCCGAAGCTTAGATTTCCAAGTGAACAGCATCTGCAGAAGTTTGTTGTTTTTTTGTTTAGGTAAACAAACAATGGGAAGAAAATATGGCACAACGAGGAAACAGCCACCAATGATGGAAGAACGAGCACAGAATACAGCGCAATCCTAATTCCTAGATGATCAGGGATTGATGCAGAATACAAAATGGAACAGAATCTGACGGTGAAATTTTTCAAAAGAGGCTTTTCAATCCAAAGTTTGATCAACCAAAATGGGAGGCATAGTACCATAGAGAGTTGCCTCAGTGATATGTATTAAATCCCCCTCAGGATGAAAACACAGAAAGGGCAACCAAATTAGCACTAATGACACTGCCATTGCATTTTAGAATTTGCATTCATGTGTTGCAGATAGACTTAGTAAGAAGCCTCAGAAAGTACGAATAAGGTCGCAGCCCAGACAGACAACAGCCAAAAAAGAAAACACAGCATAACTAGGCATGGAAGATGCAGAAAAATCCAAACAAGTTAACAGATCATTGAGATCAAAACAAGTTCATATTCAGGACATGCATAACCTGAACTTCAGCGACCAATAGCAAACACATACTAGCATTTTATCCTAAAAATTATGATTAATACAAAGCTCGTAAAACGAAGCACATTTCACAAATAAACTTGGGTATGAGAATCTCGCTAACTTGCAAATAGGTAATTGAAATCTAACTAGTGAATAAACAGAGCATCACTAGGAAAATGTCTTGAATCTCCGGACCTCTTCAGTAGCAAGTTCAGACTTGTTGAATGCAAGAGTAACAGGAATTCCGGTGGATTCAGCTTCCACCAGAAACCTCGTTAAAGCAAGCGCCTCCGGTTTGGGCTGGTCCATGGAGAAAAGAACCAACAAATGATCCACATTTGCCACAGGCGGATCAGCGGTCTCCGTCTTTCTTTGGAAGACATCCTCTATCATCCCCCTCCTATCAACCCAATCAACAGAGCCTACCAAAACCTTATCCCCAACTAGTACTCTCCTTTTTATCTTCTTCAATACAACCTTCACCACACACAGCAATTCCATTCCAATAGCTCCTCCTCCTCCTCCAGAATCTTCTAATTCATTTTCATTCTCTTCTTCAGGAAGCTGTTGGACAATGACGCGCATGAAATTTGCTTGGGAAGCGGCCACTAGCCCGACGGCTTGGCTTTTCGAGAGTTGAGGCTTATTGTCTTGGGTCAGAGCCGGAGCCAGAGAGGAGAGCTGCTTAACAGTTTCGCGAGCTTTGAGGAGGTTTTTGTTAGGTTGATTAGGCTTCCTGGACACATTTTGGTTAAGGTTTTGGGAGTGGCGCCGAGCCGCTGCAGCGAAGATGGAGAAATAGCGGTGGCGGCGATCAACCGCGAACAGGGCTGAGGAAAGTGGAACTGTTAAAAACGTCGTCGTCCTAAGGCGGATAAGTGAAATGGGACGGATCATCATCACCGGAAGAGCTAGTCGGAACTCTGCACTTCTACTACTAAGTAACTACTAAGTAGTCACTTCCTATTAGCGAGAAATAACAGCGAAGAAGAGTAATATCGCAAATTAGATCATCCGTTTTATCTTAGTGGTGAGGATTTGGCTGGAATCTTTGTTCAAGTGTGAGAATTCCATTTTCTTCTTCTTCTTCTTCTTCAGTGCTTCTGGATTCCTCTCACGAAAATTGAAAAGGCCGGACGTTGGGAATTCTTCCGTGAGTGTGCCCACGTGGACTGGGCCTTCTGAGGCTTCGGGACTTGGCCACTTGAGGCAATAGTTGAGTAACTCAGCTGGGCCTTCTGATGCTTCTAATTTGGGCTTCATGTTTTGGTTGGCCCGCACTTGTTCTTTCATTTAAAAATTTTTTTTTTTTTAAGTATTACTATTGTATCTCTTCACGACTTCACCTATCCGTTTCCTCCATTTCTTGGGACGTTTCCTCCACTTCTGCGCATACTCCCACCGCCTACTCTCGCAGCTTCCCCCTGAGGCTCACTTCCCTCACATTTCCATTTCCCAGGTAATTTTTTATATTCCCCTTTTTTTTTAAATCTTCATCTTCTTTCTTTTTTTCGTTCCTATTTATCAGTTCCGTCTGATCTTTTGTTTCGCTCTTCTGTCGCCATACGGATGATTTCGGTACTACTACTGCCATATGAATCTTCTGTCTAAATATTGGGGATTTATGTCAATAATGCCTTGTCTCGGGAACCTGTCCTGCTTTTGGTCTTCAGCTAATTTCGTTTGGGCTTTTTTCTTTTAAATATTTATAGATCTGTTCTTTTTTTCTTTTTTTTTTTTTTAATTCTTTTTTAATGAAATTCGAGCTGTTTATAGTTTGACCTGAGCTACTTTTGTTGTAGTCTTACTCTTAATCCGATTTGAGCATCTAAAATTACTCTTTCCCCCAAATTTGGATTTTTTTTTGGTGAATTTTAATTACAGGGAGCTCGTTTGAGCTGTTTGTGGTGTCTTACAAATCTTGAACTTGCTCGGCATTGTATTTGTTGATATTTGTATTGAGCTTCTCGATTTAAATAGTATGTGAATTATGAGGATGCCATTTTAATCCTTGAAGATCACTTTTGCTTCACAATTTAGTTAATTGACAGATTTCAATTGCTTTGATAGTTTGTTGGTGAAGTTTCTAGTTGCTATTGCAAGCTGGGGTTGTTAGATCTGAATCGTAGTACTAGTTTTCATTGTCATGTCGTTTAGAGTGCTACAAATTTTAGTATATACTCTCTGCAAGATGAAGATATTCTTTTACCATTTTGATCCCAGACTGCGGATTCTTTTACCATTTTAGTACAAGCCTCGTGTGGTTCTCTGCTAGAATAGCATTTGTGTCCCAAGGAATTGAGTATTAGTGTACTTCGTTCTTGGATGTGTTGCCATCTATCTCCAGTTCTTATCCTCGTTCTTTATGCTATTGATTTTTTGTGTGATAGACATTTTATGCTATCTATTGATAGATGGATTGGCAAGGGCAGAAGCTAGCAGAGCAACTCATGCAGATAATGCTGGTGAGCTTTGCTGTGGTGGCATTTATTTCAGGCTTTGTTTTGGGCTCATTTCAGATAATGCTGCTGATATATGCTTCTGGCGTTCTATTGACTTCTCTCATTACTGTTCCCAATTGGCCTTTTTTCAATCGCCATCCCCTCAAATGGTTGGACCCAAGTGAAGCTGAGAAGCATCCCAAACCGGTGTCTGCTAATACTAGCTCAAAGAAGAAGACTGGCAAGAAGTAGGTCACTTGACTAGTTTTGCTTAGCATTTTGCTCAGATATTTGTGATGGGAGGTTTATTAGCTATATTTTAATGCCTTCATTTTTGTGTGAACTAACATTTTGCTGAATGTGGCCTACATCTGACTCTCGTACATTGCAAATGTTTCTAGTTTTCACATATGGCTACTACTTTGTTTTCTAGTTCTGGTATGCTTCCATGTGTGCATGTATCAGGATCTTAGATTGTCAGTTTAAGTGCCTACTTGTTTTTGGTGGGTTATGGAATTGCTTGTTTATTTTCATTAGTTTTTTCCGGTACAATCCTTTGTATCATGGTCAAAGCAGAAAGGAAAAAGTTTGTGTTGAAAGTCTTGCATAAACACTTAGAATTTTTGGGTTTATTTTGGGGTACTTACAGAAGTACAGTGTTGCAAATTTCCCTTGTTGCATGATGGATTTGGTTTATCCATCTGCGTCTCTTAAAAATACACTTTCCCATTTAAGGCTTTCAGTAATTGAGTTTTGCGAAGTGTTTGGATCTCTGTCCTGCTGAACCTATTTGGATTCTTAACTATGTCAAGGGAAAATAAATGGGAAGAATATACGTCCACACCTTGAGTTATATCTGGTGCATGCAATCTGGAACTCTTATGTTTCTAATTGTGATTGACTAGGTCTTTGAAATTGCTCATACTGCTTATGGGATAGGATGAGATGCAATGCAAATGAGTTCTCTCATTAAGTCTATGTATATTGTAGTAGGTCAGTTATCTGCTTGCCTGTAGTTAATATATTTGGCATCCTTGATTTGTAGCTGTTCATAGTCAATTCTTGCTTAGCTAGAGATCACTAGTCAGTGTACTAGAGGCTAGAGATCACTAGTCAGTTTTTGTGACATTGAAAGATTACTACTTTCAAGGATCAAACTGTTTTGACCAGGTAGAACAGCTTGTCTTTTCTCCTCTATTCTTCCCCTTTCCCTGAACAAATGATCCTTTATTATGAAGTAAATTAGTGAAAAGTGAGATTTAGGGCTTGTTTTCAACTGGTTCTAGTTCTGTAAAATTCATTCTTGAAACTTAGATTTTTCAGAATAACTTAGATTTTACCGTTAAAAAAGCCATTTCAATAAATATATAGATGTTCTTTAAAAAAAGTTAAAAAATTGACTTTGACAAAAAAAATGACCATGTTACTTTTATATGCTATATAATTGAATTTTTGTGCCAATTAAATAATTTTATGTAATTAATTACTTTTTTATGAAGATTTAAATGGTGGAGAAAAAAACAAGAGACATGCAAATGAATTTGAAAGTGAAATAAGAATATTAAGATCATAGTAAAGTTATCTAATCTTTAGGTAGTTTAGTAATTATGTTGAAATTTGAAGTAAATTTTGTTAAAAGTAAATGACAGGTGTCGAACCTGTGCGCTAATAATAAATAAAACCTAACTGCCACCAAAAGTAGTCAATAATCAATTTTAGGTACTGGAGTGGGGACTCTAAGTGTGCAATAGGTTACTTGATTTACCATGTTCCCGAAAAGTTTGCTTAATCCGATATACCTGAATTAATTATCTGACTAAATTCATTAACTAGTAGACAGTGGGAAGCAAGGTCGTTTCCTCAGGGACTGGGGAGAAATTTGTTTCCTTTCGGGTCAAGAAAAATGGGGGTTTTAGGATTAAATGCTAATGAACTAAATAAATCAAATGCAAAAAATAATAAATTGATAGAAATAATTGAGAGAATTCTAGCTAAGAGTACACTTCAGAAATGGTTCATGCAACTGATCATCGATTCAAATATAATTCCAACATTTATTAATAGATTGGTTATAGCTGTCTTGCACGCGATAAATAACCAACCTTTTCTTAATTTATCGACAGTCAAGGTACGACCGTTGACTATTTCTCTAATCCGAAAACAATCCTAAATACGACCGTATGATTTAATTTCTAGATTGCATTAATGTTTAGAAAAGCCTAATCCTAACTAACAAATACGCTACGAGGGTTTATTTAAATTAGATCGTATGTTCCCCTGACATAAACCCAATTATGCCAATTGCTACCGGGACAGAGGTAATCGAACAATTACGGATCCAACTACCCCTAATTAGCAAAATACCCTATATGAATAATTAAATATTGACACTATTCAATCATACACAAAAGATATAATAATTAAAAGCAGAAAACATATAAATACCAATAAATGGAGGAAGCAATTAAAATAATTTAGATCTCACAGTATTTGTCGAACCAAATCTTCAGTTGTCACATTGACTAGAAGTCTGAAATTAGTTCTCCAAAATTGGAGAACAGGCCATGCGAAAAAGTGTCTTTAGAAGCTTACAATTTGTGAGGACCCAAATTTTTGCTTATTTTAATATTATTTTAATGGTTTAATTAATTATTTATTCACCCATTTTTTCAAATAATTTATTTCAACCATTTTAAATCCATTTACATGAAACAATGTCTCACTTACGCTTTTAAAACGTTTCTTTAGAAAATTTTATTTTTCGGAGGCTCGTTCGGTAAGGAATAATGAGTACACGTTTTTTACGGTAAATTCGATCTGAGAGTGTATTAGTCTTGGAGAATTAAGAATGAATAATAATAGACTAAGAAAAGTTAATTGAGGCATTAGTGGTGAATGAGTTCAAAAAAAATTTCGCTTTATCGCGCGCGAATCGAAAATTCACGTATATCGAGCCGGAACGGCTAAGTGGAGATTAAAAAACTTATTCTAGACTACTAAGAGTGAATAATTATAATGTTAAAGAAAGTACATTAAAGGTATAGTGCACAAGTGAAACAAACATGAGAGAAAACGGGCACAAAACGCGCGCGCGAGAAACTATTGGTAGTTGACTTTTGAGACAAACTTTGGCCCCAAGTATCCAAGCTTCCAAGCGAAGCTTTAGTTAGCAGCTGCACACTCTCTCTCCTCTCATCTTGCTGGCCGAAATTCTCCAAGGAAGAAGAAGGAGAGCTCCACTTCATTTCACCTCACTTTGTGCTACCATTTCTCACCCAAATTCACCACACAACTTCCACTTCACTTGGAGATTCACTTGGAGATTCACTTGGACTAGGAAGGAAGCATTATCTCATGGTTTGTCTTGAGGTCTTAGAGGTGCAAAATTTCTGATTTCACTCAAAGGAAGAGGAGGTAATCATCCAACTATCTAATCTTGGATTTAGTGGGTTGATCTTTGCTAGGAAGTTTGTAACTACATTGTTATTGTTGTTGTTGGATTTAAATGATTGGAGTGGGCTCTATGAAATCTCACCTTGATGATATAGGTCTGATATGATGATAATAAGTGTTGTTTGTGTTAATTATGTGATAAACAAGATGAGATTTGTTGGAAAAGTGAAAGGAAAACCAAAGGAATTGCATAGGAAGCTTAGCCGAAAATCTGCCCTATTTTTCTCGAAGCTTTGGTTTGAAATTTTGATGCTCAAATGATCTTGAATCTGATGTAGATATGTTGTATAGGATGTGTGGAAAGTTTCCACCGAAAATCACTTGATTTGATTGAAAAAAAATTGAGTTTTGGCAAGAACAATTCTGGAAAATCGCATAGCAGGCAGTAATTTTTAAACGAACATATCTCTCTGTATGGAAGTCAGAATTGAGTGTCATTAGTGGCATTCGAAACTAGACATCCGTAGTTTTCTAACGGTGTAAAATGTACCCTCTGATTCGAATTGAGTGAGCCGTAGTAGTTCACCAAATTTAATTGTTCTGTTCTGCTATGCTGCATGAGTGATAATGATAAGCTGTGGATTGTCGCTTGAATTCGAGCTAGCTATGAACTGATTTTCAAAATAATTTCTTCTGATGAAATGTAGCTTTTTGAATCTAGTTTCAAATGCCACTGACCATTCTCAATTTTAAGTTGTATTGAGTGAGATATGGTCCAATTACAGAACTGCACCAAAGCTGGAAATCTGGAAAATCCTTCTTTCTTGCTAGCCGACTAGTCTAATTTGATTTGGGACATGTTGTTTCGCAAATTTTGGTGCCGATCACCTACCAAATGTATAATAGATGTTCTAGGACCTTGGTTTCACAAATGTCAATTTGAACTTCAAGAGAGACGAATATCCCCAGTCCCTGTGGATTCGACCCTACTCACTACTATACACAGAAAATTATAGTTTCTCCGAATAGGTATTTATTATTGTACAGGCCCGACACCTGTCAATTTTTGGGGCCGTTGCAGGGGACTGGTGCCAGATTAATTTGTTTCCTTTTGAGTTCATCTTGTTTTCATTTTTTATTTATTTTTCTCTTATTTTTTTATATAGTTTATGGCTGCTAACATTTCGTATTTTGATGATAGACTGGACTTTATTCCTGAATGGGGTTATGAGACTCGTATTCTTTCTAATGATCAATCGACTGATGCAAATTGTGGAACTTATTTTACCTCAGGTTATTCAACCGACACATGCCCCGCATTTCAAGATAATCTAAGTGCTCCAATTGATACTTTTGGAGATTTTTCACCTCGATTTCAAACGTGGTATGACCCTTACTTAAATAGGTACGATCAAGGATGGTGGGATAATTCCAATTTTAATTATGCGACCAGGCCAATGGGTTTTCAATAGCAAGAGTTTCAATAGCCATCATCCATGTCAGGTATGTCTTTTGAAGAAATGATTGAACTACTAGCTGCTAATACATATCGATTTCATCAGGAGATACAAGCGATGGCGGATCAAGTGCAACTAGTGACATTCGGGATGGCGGATCAAGTGCAACTAGTGACATTCGGGATGGCGGATCAAGTGCAACTAGTGACATTCGGGATGGCGGATCAAGTGCATCTATTGACATCCAAGATAACGCAATTAGCTTCTCACATGAGTGAAAAATTACCCTCACAGACCAATATCGACCTTGAAGAAGATGAGAGTGTAATTATCCTGACAAGTGACATGGAGCTACAAGAGTCTCAAAAAAATGGATCTAAAAATGCAATTGAAAAGGAAATTGAAGTGCAAGAAATGAGACCCCAACATCAACTCATCCAAGTGAATGAATCCAATGAACAATCTCCAAATGCGGTAACATCTTCTCCATTCCTTAATCAATATTTTCCTGATTCTTATTTTTCAATTCCTGTTAATGAGATTGACTTTATTATACCAGAAAATTTTGAATTTCATGATAGGAATAAGTTAAAAGTGGCAATGGCAAAATATCTTGAACCAATAAATGCGCGTGATGGAGGAGTGAGTGAAGAATCCAGATTATTGTTGACTGGTTTGGCATC